ATCCTACTGGGATCTTTGGCGTGTTCAACAGCAAACTTAACGAATTTCGATACCCCATTCTCGTACTCTTTTGACAATCGATTAACAAACATCCATTTTTTATCCATACTAATTGAGTAATCTAAACTAAACTATGAAAGTTAAGCAAAAACAGAGAATACTTGTAAAGAAATCACTCACTTCTAAGAAAGCTACACAATAGGATTCTTGGAAACGATCACAACCTTGCTCTTCACAGGTAACCCCTATAACAGACAAAATATAAATTTTATTAAAATCATATTAATAATTAACCAAAACAAAAATACTAGATAATCCACCAAAATAAATCATATTAAAAATACTAGATAATCCTTAAATTAACCAAAATGACACCCTTACTAAATATTGAGAAATCCTAACTAAACATATAAAACCATAATAACATATCATATAAATATTGAGAAATCCATAATAATATATCAACATATAAAACCATCAACATATAAAACCATAATAACATATAAAATCATATCATATAAAACCATATTCATGTTGGCTTCTCTCTTAAAAAATAGGAATTTCCAAACTATTAAAAAAACAATATGCTCTATCAAGTTACATTAATATTTTTAGCCATCATTATCTAATATTTTTGTTATATTCAAATTAGAAGAAAACTCATTTGTATGAGTGGTGCTAGATGAATTATCCATCTAAGTTCAAAATAGCAACAAAATAAAAACAACAATAACATTAACAATAACATAAAACATTTTGAGTTTAGGCTTTTAACAACAACAACAACAACAAAAACAATAGTATACGTAACAGATCTACACAAACCCAACAACATTAGTGTTAACATCATATCAAATATCATACTTGAACTCAAATTTACTTACATGTCCTCAAACCTTCAATGCAAAACAACACTAAAAACCTTCACTAAACCTTCAATAACTCAATAAAAACAACAACAACAAGAATAATATTAAACCTTCAATGCCTCAATAACAACAAACTTTCGCATTGCAACAACTACAACGAACCTTCAATATCTCAATAACACAAAACCTTCAATTTCTTAATAACAACAAAGAGACAAGAGACAAGTATGTTTCAATAAGATATCAAGGTTCAAAGAAATATATAATAAAACCATCTATATCATCAGAACAAAAAAACCATCTATATCTTCAAATACCATAATAACAATGGTGAAAAGATAAATAAACAAGAAAACTAGAGTAAAACTTCACATACCGTAACAATGGTGGAAATGCAATGCAGACGGATGGATGCACTCGAAAACGGATGGTGAACGGCGGCGAAATCCAACGGAAGAGGGCGACGGTCGGAGGATGGATGACGGAAACATAATGGTTGTATATAGGGCAACGTTCGTTCGCCAGAGAAACAAAGAAGAAAAGAAACACGTAAGCGACTGTTCTGTTTCTTTTAAAATTCTGGAGGGTATTTTAAAATTATTATACTAATATCTATAGCAGCGCTTTTTAAAGACCTTTAGCAGCGCTTTAAAAGCGCTTTTATAGGGTGTCTTAGCAATGCCATATAGCAGCGCTTTATAGAAAAAACGCTCTCGTAGGGTCCCCCTTTAGCAGCGCTTTTTAAAAGCGCTTTCTTAGGGTTCCCCTTTAGCAGCGCTTTTTAAAAAGCGCTTTCTTAGGATCCCCCTTTAGCAGCGCTTTTTTAAAAGCGCTGTCTTTGGTAGGTAATTTTTTTTCTTTTTTTTTACTGACCTTTTAGCAGCGCTTTTTTATAAAGCGCTGTCTTTGTATGCGCTGCTAAAAGTAAATTTTGGCGTAGTGATTGTGTTCTAATCTGGTATTGTTGGGTAGACATTTATACAAAAAGCTCAGGAAGAAGTTTCAAGGGATTAAACTAAAATAATTGACATGGATGATTGCAATTACAAGTTATGTCAATGCTAAAGAAAAAACCATGCTTGAAATAAAGGCAAAGACACTTAATTAAGAGGCATTCACGCACCTAATAAAAATTATACCAAGATTTTAGAGCAAATCTAGGTTTATAATCATACTAAGATGTGATACTTTAGTGAACAATACGCCAGAGGCATTCAATTCAGTCTTTGTAAGTGCTAGGGTCAAGCCCATTATCACAGTGTTTGAAGAAATTATAATTTATATTATATTGAGGTGAGAGTCAAATAGATAGAAGATTGCCAAATATGAAGGTAATATTTTACCAAATATAAAAAAAGGGTTTTAAAGGAGTAAAAAAAACAAAAAATTAAATTGTGAGGTAAATGAATTGTATTTTGATTTGATTAGTTTTGAATCGTGTATTGTGTCGTGTTTTAAAATTGGAAATTATGTTGTGTTTTAAAATTGTGAATTCTATATGTGTTACAGGCGTGTTGACAGGACTACCTTTTGTCCATGACTGCTAAAAAATGTTATGAAGCTTGCTATTAGTCAATTATTTATCATTTTAATGGTGAAACTTTGTGGACAAAAACAAAGTTTGTTGATCTACAACCACCACTTATAAAAGGACAACCTGAGAGGTCCAAGAAAAAAAGGAACAATGAGGTCGAAAAAATAATGAAAGATGAGATACAACTGAAATGAAAAAAATTTGGAATCAAATGTCGTCGGTGCCATATGAATGAACACAACAAAACTACATGCAAACTGCCAATACCTTTAGCACAAGAACCACCTCATCCTAACACAAGTCACACAACACCAATTAAATCTATACTACTAGTCTCATTAACTTAGACATATGCAAAGAAGAAAAAAAACAATTCAAAAAGGAACAAAATTTATTTTGAGCCAACCTTAATAATTACAATTTTTTGTGATCATTTTGTAATCATATACCATTTTGGTTTAGTCTGTTTAATGATATGAAAGAAAGTTTGTTTGTTTGCCATTGAAACTTCTTTTATCATTAGCACAAACAATTTAAACCCACATAGTCTAACACATTGTTTCATTAACACAGTTGAAACTTGTTTAGGCATGAGTGATGTCATTCTACTATTATAGCATAGGGAATTTTAATAGACTAAATGAAATAATTCGCTTACAATAATAATGTCATTATAATATTATAGCAGAAGGTATATTAACACGTTTAACAACATAATTTGCTAACAAAATGATGTCATTTTGTTGTTATAGCAGAAAATTTTAATAGGTTTAACAACATAATTTAATTACAATAAACCAACACAAACTTTCAACATAGTTTTATTACAACATAAATTTAAACATCTTTTTACATGATTTCATTACAATAATCCAACACAAAATCACCCTTAAATTAACCCTATTTAAAATACATTGTTAATATCATCAAATTCACTCTTAAACTAAAAATCTCAAGCACCATTAACATTTTCAGCTATCAGGTCACAACTTCATTCTTCAATTTAAAAATTTTCTTCTTCTTTTTTCTAATTTTGAGATCCTATTTATCAACAATTTATCATCTAACTACTTAAAAAAATTATAACTTTTATCTATGTGATTTTTTTTAATTTCTACAATCCAAATTTTTTTTGCCAAAGTTCAAATTGTACATGTCATTTACGGTATAAAGAACATACCCGTCTTAGCAAAAATATTCCCTCCTTTTATGTCTTCTAAGTATAGATCCAACTGTCCCCAAACTTTAATTGTTTGACATGAAGAGACTGTTAAAAATCTTTGATATTGAAAGAAATCTAAGAAATTTCAGATAAGATGAATGAAATTTTTTTTTTTTTGAAGAAAATGACGTATAAATCCTTAAAAAAACGCAAGACGCACTTCTTTTCACAAAATATTTTAACCGACATACTCTTTTGATTTTTGCCAACTAATTTGTCAAATAATCAAAACTTAACATTTTTTTTTTCAAAATTTAATAGTAATGACCACATTGATTAATAGAATGTTTTTTAGAGACTAAATAATAATATTATTAAATAAAAGATAAAAGTAAAACTTTAAATTAAATTAAAGAAATAGAAGAGAAGACTAATTAAGTCTAATACTCCTTTGGTTACCTTTATAAACAAAAATAACTAATTTCACATTAATTTAAAAAATTAGCTAAGTGTAATTAATTTTTTTGATTTCATACACAATCAAAATAAAACTTATTATAATATCCTTAGTTTATACTTGTTGAATAAACTACCAACATTAAATAATTTTTTGGTTAGAAAAACCGATATTCTCTCCGCACAACTGCAGAGATTAATTTCTCGAATCGGATAGGACTTCAAATGGTGGGAAAAATCTCCTTTAAGAGAATTTAAAACAGCTATGCTCAGAACCAAATTCGAATTCAGAATCTCGGACTAAATTGGAGGAGATCTCTTACAATCTTATCCAAGTGCTCTTGAATAACATTAAATAATTTGAAATTAAATGAAAGATAATAATACAAATATTAATTAATTTAAAAATTAATGATTTTTGCTATAATAGTGACTAAATTTTAAAGTTTTTTTATTTTATTTTTTATAATAGTGATGGGAGTGAGTATTAAATGCCATGTATGTGTGACACCTAATTTGTAAGACTTATTTTCAACTATAGTACAAGTTCTTAAATCAAATATAGCATTAATTGATCAAACATACAAGAGTAATATAACCATTTATACAAATTTTTCAATCAACTAAAATGGTAATCTCGAAGCCGTATGTATTAATTGCATATTCCAAACTAGTAGTACTGGTTGAGTGCAGTCAAGACTCAAGACCCATCATGCTTGAACACAACACAACACATAACCGTTTCTTTTAAAGCATCATCATCAACATTCAACCTAACATTCATTATCGCTCATGAAATGTCACTCTCCAAGTTGATTAATTCTTCACACCTATGATTAGTTATTATTTTATTTTTCAAAATTTCAAGGTCAAGAAAAGAACAAAAAAAGATGGCCACGTCATCAAAATTCGCTTTTATATACCACCACAACTTCTTCACCAAGCTAGAATCAGAAACTCAAATTTTGAGTAAGAAAATATGGATGTAGAGAAAGTGTTCCACATGACTGGAGGAATTGGCAAAACAAGCTATGCCAAAAACTCCTCACTACAGGTTCATTACTTTAATTTCTATTCATCTTAAATTTTCATAAACAATTCATTATTATCTTTATTAGTGTTTTTACACCGATTTGTGTATAATTTTTGATAGAAAAAAGTATCAGATAAGGTGAAACACATTCTGATAGAAGCAGTTGAGGATCTTTACATTGAAACAACTCCAAAGAGTATAGGCATTGCTGATTTGGGTTGTTCTTCTGGACCAAACACTCTCTCAATCATCAAAGATATCTTCCAAACAATTCAATCAACAAGTCACAAAATCATGCACCACTCTACTGAATTCCGAGTCTACTTTAACGATCTTCCAACGAACGATTTCAATTCAATCTTCAAAGCTTTACCTGAGTTTCAAAAGTTGCTTAATCAAGATAGAAAAAATGATTTTCCTTCCATTTTCATGGGAGGTTACCCTGGTTCATTTTATGGAAGATTGTTCCCTAATTGTTACTTGCACTTTGTTCATTCTTCCCATTGTTTACACTGGCTTTCAAGGGTAATGAATAATATTCATTCCAACTTCTGTTTCAATTCTTTAAACCACTAACTTTTCAGAACGGTGTTTCAGTGTTTTCGTGTTTATGTTATTTAGGTTCCTCCAGGAATCTATGGCGAGGAGAAGAAGTCTTTGAACAAAGGTTGTGTTTACATTTGTGATAAAAGTCCTGAAGTGGTTTCTGAAGCTTATTATAAGCAGTTTCAGGAAGATTTTTCGTTGTTCCTTGAATCAAGGTCTGAAGAATTAGTTGTCGGTGGAAAAATGGTGTTGACGTTTTTAGGAAGAAAGGGATCTCAACATGTTGACAGAGGCAATTCATTCCTCTGGGAGATTCTTACTCGTGCATTTACTATTCTAGTCTCACAGGTACATTTATAATTCTATTTTTAGAAATTTTTTGATTAAAAACGCATTAATTCTAGTCTCACAGGTACATTTATAATTCTATTTTTAGAAGTTTTTTTTTATTAAAAACGCATTAATTGTGAACAGTATGATTCGAACCTACTTATAATAAAGTTAATCATAGAATAAAATATTTAAAATTTAAATTATTTAATAAATAATTATATATAATGTTCGTAAATTATAACTAAATTGATAAAAAAATCGATATTATTAAATTGAATGTCATTTCTAAAATTTAAATTATAGAAATTACGATTCTGTGTATGAGTTTCTAATTGTTATTTATTGTCGCTTTATCTGCCGACTACAAAAATAATGAAATTTTAATGCAAAACTAGTGTCTATCAATAAGATTTTGAGTAAATCTAGTAACATTCAATGGTGTCTGGTCCCTCTAACTCCAACTTGGACGACTTAGAGTTTTGTCACTTTCCTTCAATCATTAATTGATTGCAATTTTTTTGGGGTCAAGAATTGATTGCAATTTCTATCACCATAGATGAAAGTAACATCTTACCGATTCAAAGTTAGTAGTTTGAAATGAAACAGGTTATTTTGCTAGGATTTTGATTCATGAACATTAATCATTTAAGTTGTAGCTTTTCAACATAGGCTCTCGAGTTTATTTTAAAAGGAGAATTGTAGGGTGCACCATTCTCCACTATGGATAACAACACTACCATACAAATTGCATTTTACTAGTTACTTGTGGATGTTGCATATTATATTGACTAGAGAATATAATTAACAAATAATTAATATTATATTGATGATTAGAAATGATATTTATTTTAGAGGAAAACACATTATTATTATTATTATTATTATTATTATTATTATTATTATTATTATTATTATTATTATTATTATTATTATTATTATTATAATATTTTGTTTTGATGTGTGTTAAAGGGAGAAATAGAAGAGGAGGAACTTGATTCATATGACGTGCATTTCTATGCACCATCAAGAGAAGAAATAGAAGATGAAATAAGGAAAGAAGGGTCATTGGAAATGGAGAAGTTGGAAATGTTTGAGATAGACAAAGAGCAAGGCAGGGAGAGTTATGGTACAGAGTTTGCAAAAGCAGTTAGAGCTGTCCAAGAATCAATTATCTCTAATCACTTTGGAGAAAGGATTTTGGACAATTTGTTTGAGATTTTTGCAACATTGGTGGATGAAGAGTTTGCAAAGGAGGATATTAAACCAATCACTTTTGTTCTTGTTCTTCGAAAAATATGAATGGGTGTACAAAAAATTAAGTATGGTATATTTTGGTTGGAAGTGATGGGATGATTTTAAATTTTATACACTAAGTGTATATTTGTTCCTCTAATTAGTCAAATATGTATAAGTGTCTTTCCTTCTTGTATTCATACTGTTAGGAAGGATGTAGAGATTTGTATCTTTTAACTTTAAATTAGTAATATATATTAGACATAACAAATTTTGAAATTGCTTAAAACCATCTAAAACCGTTTCAACTTTAGTGATAAAACTATGTTATGGGCGGATATTTCCCAATATTTAAAGTTGTTGGAGGAGGATATAATTAAGCCCATGTAGAAGCAAAATCATAAAGGCCCAATAGTAAAAGAAGGGGTGTGGATAGTTGAAACTGAGATGACAAGAGCTAAGAGAGTGATTAAGGCTTTAAAGAAGCTTGAAGACTACTTCACCCATTTGAAGGCTAGTAAGATGATCTTGGAAATGTTGGGAGTTGCTAGAGAAAAGTCGGATTATGTTAGTTATTGGAGGTAGATAAGAATAATTCAGTTGTGATTGGTAGTGTATGAATCAATTATAAATTCTATTGTATGTATCATTTTGAGGATTATCAATGAAATTATCATTTTGACCTTGTAACTCAGACTACAAAACTCATTATTTGGTTGGTGCTTTCATTGAGAGAAAGCTTCTCTCTCAGAATATTCAAATGGCCGGTGGTACACGTAACAACAACGACAAATTGAATGACTTAGCTCTGGTGTTTGCTCATTTTTAAGAGACATTTAACTCAAAGATGAATGTGTTCGCTAACCATGTCGAATCTCTAGAGCTGCGTTCACCGGAAGTTTAACTCAAAGATGGATGTGTTTGCTAACCATGTCGAATCTCTAAAGCTGCGTTCACCGGAAGTTGGAAGTTCACGCAACATGCAAGAGCCAGATCATCATCATTGTCACATATTGAAGCTCGATGTTCCTAGATTCTCATGAACAGACCCTCGTCGGTGGATCTTCAATGTCACCCTGTTTTTTTGTACCTATAATAATATGTCGAAGGAAGAGAGAACCACAACGGCCTCCTTCTATTTGGACGATGTGGCAGTAGTATGGTACTAGTGGATGTATCAGAACAAACATATCGTTGAAGGTGTGAGAAAAACACAAGAAAGGGGGGGGGGGGGGGTTGAATTGGGTTTTTACCTCATTAAACATTTTCGCTTCTTCACTTGTTGCTTTATGAGATTCTATAAGATGCATTGCGGAAGCATAAATGATAAAGCATAATACAAGTAAAGAACACATGATATATCCTGGTTCACTTGAGCAACTCTCAAACTAATCCAGTCCACCCTTCCAAGGTGATTTTGCCTCTCTCAATTGAGGTCTTAATCCACTATAACCAAACTGATTACAGATGCATAAGCAAACTGCAGCTGACTAACAAATAGACAATGACACGTTCAGGGATCCCCAAGGATATAACGTTCATTGACACCTAATAGAATCCGATCAATTAAGATCTCCTATTAGATTCCACAAATGACCACAACCACTTGTCATCTCAAGTATTCTGATCTTCACAAGATCACTTGAGGAACCACTAATTTTAAATTGAATTTGTGTTGTCGGAGATTACATGAGTGTTTATTATCAAGCAGATTACTCCTAATTAAAGTACATGGCAAGTATTGAGCAACAACTCCTTGCTTCCTAATACAAAAGCTATATAAAGATAAATCTCAAGGAGCTTATTAAAACATTAGTTTCCATATTGCTTAAAAGCTTTCTTATGTGAGCTCTGCGGCTTCTTAGCATAAAGCTTTTCTTGTTAATCAACTAGCTTGCTAACATGTTTGTCAACCAGCTACGTTACTAACTTGCTAACCTTTGAATGAATCAAATGATCTTCATTTATAATGCATCCAAGAGAGTCGTTGTGAGGGTAGAGATGTCCTTTCAATATTCCAACGGTCATTTCCAACAGATAGAATAAGCACGTGTTGGATAGTACAGTGACATCACTTTCTTTGTCCTTTTCTTGTAACATTAATATATCATTGTGGGAGACAACTCTTATCCACAAATGATGTGATCTTCATTTATCAGCTTGGACAATTCAGCTTCTGGCTTTGGTTCTTCTGATGATGTATCTGATGAGTAGTTCAGAAACTACTTTGGTATGATAGCATAACATCAGAGTTGTTTGACTTCAACACCTTGTTTATCAGAGTGGATATCAACAACTTATTTGATTAACACGTCTTTGTCTGGGTGAAGTCATATAATCTTCAACTTCAGAATCTAGTCTTCAGAGTCTTTCTGCACTTGGTCTTCAGAGCCTTCAGCCTTCAAAGCTTCAAGTCATCAGAGTCTTCAGTACGTAGTTCTTTAGAGGATTATATCTTCAGAGTCTTGATCTTCAGAACCCTTAAGTCTTTAGAGTCTTTCTGCACTTGGTCTTCAGAGCTTACAGCCTTCAGAGCTTCAAGTTATTAGAGTCTTCAGAGCTTGGTTCTTTAGAGGACTATATCTCAGATGTGTTATTAGCTTCCAGATCATATACACATCTCAGAGCAGAATCTATAGGAGCATTGCAACCGCAATATCCCACATCCTTGGATCTTATTGATCGTGATCAGATACAGAGGCAAACTTGCTTCTTTAATATGCTTTGTTTACTTTCAGATCAGATGCACTTCTCAGAGCAGAATCTACAGGAGTATTACAACAACAATATACAACATCCTTGGATCTTTCTGATCGTGATCAGATACAGATGCAAACTTGCTTGTTCAATAAACGCTTTATGACACGTCACACATAGTAACTCTCATATTGTATTAAATGCACATCTTGATATTGTTTGTTTGATCTGATATCTTTAATTAACGTGATCTGCATATAACGAACATTAGAATATAAAATAGTTCTTTCCCAAATACTTCATTGTAATCATCAAAACATAGATATAATCTTGCAGAGACAATTCTTGTTCTTACAATCTCCCCGTTTTTGATGATGACAAAAACATGTATTTTGATAGAACATTTTATACAGGGTAAACACCAAGCATAACATATTCAGAGTTTCAAGCAACAGCTCCCCCTGAATGTGTTAACCTCACAAAAGTTCATTTATGCTTGTTCAGAGACTTTCTCTGATCCCAAGACTCACAAAATAGAAATTTTGATAGAGCAAAACAAATAGAAGAGAAAGAATACTTCCCTATGATATAAAAGAGCATAAGTCCTTAGCATCTGGATTTGTTCAGCAGAACTTCCTTCTTCAGATCTTTAGAACTTGTTTTCTTTAGACATCGTATCAGAGCCATATAACTTCACAGCCTTCTAAATCACTTGCTACTGTTCATCAGAACAACTGTAGCACAGAGACAAAACAATTCTTTTCTAATAACTTAGCCACAGTATTTATCAGAAGCAGAATTAGTTTTTCAGATGAGAAACTCCCCCTGAGTTTTAGACTGGGTGAAAATCAAATATTCTGACTTGTGAACCTTTCTGGGTGAACTCCCTCTGGTTATAGTAAGTCAGATATTAAGATCTTCAGAACTTGATATAGTCTTCAGATTTGTCATTACAGACTTGCTTTTTCAGAGTTAGACTAGAACAAAGGTCTTTATCTCAAATCCTTGGTTCTATCAGAGTTTGAAGCATTAATCAGATTTGATCTTGATCAGTTGAAAGTAATTGATTTTGAGTCTGATATCAGTAAGCTTAATTCTAAATCTGATACTAATTCTTGATTCTGAGTCTGAAACCAATTCTTGCTTTTATGAAGATTTCTTATTCTTATGCTCTGATTATCATATTTACAGACAATTTACATCTTCTGAACATTATGATTCCAGATGAATTTAACTTTCAGAAATATTTCAACCTCTGAACAGTATTGGGTCCATCTGATTCTGAACATATGTTCACGAAGTGTATAACTTCGATTATATGAACAACCAGATCGTTTGAACTCAGAGTTCTTTCATTTGACCTGTTCAGAGAATGCCTAGTGAACTTGTTCAGAGTTCCTCGGTAAAACATCAAACACATGGTTAGTAGTAAACGCAGTTTATATCTGAGTTGATGTTTTTCATTCTCTTTAGGTTATATTAAAATCATATTCTATTTCTCCCCCTTTTTGACATCATCAAAAAGGTGAATTTTCATTAAATAACAAGATAAAAAACAAAGAGCCTAAAACTTAGAGGTTGGCGTCTTTACCAGAGTTTGTTTAAGCATGCTTCCCGGCGCCATCCAAAGACAGTTCTCCAGGAACTTCACAGCTTCCCGGCGCCATCCAAAGACAGAGGCAGCTCTGGAGGCCATTATCCATGGAAAAAACAAACCTCTCTGAGATTACATAGAGAGGTTCAACCGAGAGGCCGTCCAGGTGTCCACCACAGACGATGTGAAGAAAATCTTGATTTAGAGAGGCATGCGACCTCACTCCAACTTCGTCAAGGTCGTCGGGAATCGAAAGTCCTCGCACCTTGAACGCCCTTCTCCATAAAGCCCAATCATACATCTAGTATGAGGAGATATAGGACGTCAACACCGCCCGTGACACGTGGAACCAAGAAGGCTTCATGAGCACCAGGCATGAGGAGGTCGCTCCTCCTCGTCGAAGCGGGGAAAAAGAAGAGAAAACCGACCCCGCGAGCAAAGAGAACCAGCGGGCCGGTTCACTGAGTACACGCTACTCACAGCTCCCCGCGAGCGCATCCTGTCCAAATGTATCAATTTGGAATTCAAGAGGCGCGGTGTCCGTTTCTCGAAATCGATGCCCCCGAAGCCCAACATGGACAAGTCCAAATACTGTCAGTTTCACCAGAGTCATGGACACGTCACGGAGGGTTGCATCTGCCTCAAGGATGCAATCAAAATCTTAATCAAAGAAGGGAACCTGAAGTAGTACACTAGGAGATGTGAGGTTCCCTAACTTGAGACCCACGTAGCCAAGAAAGCCGAGGAAGTGTCTCCTCCCTCCGAAGAAGCAGGA